AGAGAGAGAGTGTTAGCTAGCGCAGGAGCCGCGGCGTCTGAGGTCTTTGGTCCGAAACGGAGCAGAAAAGCGAGACGGAGGATCACATGACTGAAGGCACTTGATTACAGGTCTCAGATCAGTCCAGAACAAACAAAAGCAGACGTGCCCTATTGGTGAGGAAGAACCAAAGGCCAATCAGAGCGGAGCATCGCAGAACACACGGCCCACGCTGCGCAACACCACGCCGAGCTGACACGAGTACAGGAGCGAGCGTGGAGACGCACGGGGGAGAGGGGGAGCGCACACACACACACACACACACACACACACACACACACACCTGACATCAGCATGCAAACACAGGCACAGATTCTGTCCAATCAGAGTCTGAGGAAGGCCAGCGGAGGCGGGGCGAGCGGAAGAACAGCGCAGGGAATGAGCAGCGTGAGGTATACGGTGAGCTCGCTCGCGCACGCTAGTGTTGATCATCTGAACAGGAAACGGCTAACACTCATCAGCAGACGCTAATGCTAACGCTAACGCTAACACTGCGCTCTACAGGAGCAGACGACAGACGAGTGGAGACGACAGCAGGTGAAGAGCAGCGGCTCCGCTCAGGTGTAAACCAGACTCTCTTCATCCCACAGGTGTGTGTGTGTGTGTGTGTGTGTGTGTGTGTGTGTGTGTGCGTGTCACGGGCAGTGTGTCCGCGGTGGCCTCTGTGGAAGCCCGTTGTGGGCGGGTCGCTCAGAGCGATTGGCTGAGGTGTGGGAGGAGCCTCTCGTGCTACTGGTGGGCTGAGAGTTGCTCTGGTGACTGCGGTCTCCATGGTGACGGTAGTTGCTCCGGCCGGGGTTTCGCTCAGGATGCACGCCTCCATTATATCGCTGGTTTCCCTGGTAACCCTGAATGATGCGCCTGTTGCCATGGAAAATCTGCAGCACAGAGAAATACTGCTGTCAGAGAACGCACACACGCACGCACGTGCACACACACACACACACACACACACACACACACACACACACACACACACACACACGTGTCTGCAGATACCCCTGAGCGCACCTGTTTGTGTGGGCCGCCGGGCCGGCTGTAGCTCTGCTGCTGCTGCTGTGGTTCTGCAGGGGTGGAGCCGGTCACGGAGGAGGAGCTGGAGCTGCAGCGAGAGCGGCTGGAGTAATCTGTCTGAGGGTGGTACACTACACACACACACACACACACACACACACACACACGCACACACACACACACGCACACACACGCACACACACACACACACACACACACACACGGTCAGAAACACACACTCAC